TATTATTATTATTATTATTTTTGTTGTCCAACAGAGGTCTTACAATCCAATACCAAACCTGTAATTGTTAGAAACCAAGAGCAAGATAATATGCATTAAATCCCAAGAAAGGCCGTGTCTGCATAACCCTCGAGTTAAAGTTAAATTTTAAAAACTGTTTAAAAATTAAACAGACAGATCAAATTGCATGCCGTTCTAATACTGACATCAAAATTATCTGAAATAGTAGCCGTCTTTCAAAAAAAAAGATATCTACACAACAGAAAACCGAGTGTCCCCCCGCACAAACCACAAGTGAAAATAATTTCGGTATATTTCACAATTTACATGGGTTTATTTTTGCTGTTACCAACTGTCCACCTTGAAATTTCAACTCTGTTTCATTATACATCATAGAATCATAGAGCTGAAATGGAGCTGCTAGTCCAGAGGGGTCAAACTCAAGGCGCCCTGGCGCCACCCTGGAAATAGTGAAGGGCCGGCCTGTGGTGCTTTTGCCAGCGAAAACGGAGCACGGGAGGGCTGCATGTGGCCCCTCTTGAGCTACATTTTCACTGGCGGAGGATTGCAAGAGGCTGTCGCAGCCGGAAACACAGCCTGCGAGGGCCACGCGTGTCCCCCCAAACTCTGTTTTCACTGGCAGATGGCTGCAGGAGGCCATCGCAGCCAAAAACGGGAGCCCACTTTCGCTGGCAAGAGCGCTCGATCCACCCCAGGCATGAGTGACGTCAAGCTGGTCACGCCCACCCCATCCCCCCCAAAGTTAAACACAACCCTGATGCGGCCCTCAATGAAATTGAGTTGGACCACCCTGTTCTAGTTCAACTCCCTGCACAAGGGAGGAGACCTGACTGCATCCCGAGAAATAGCTGTCCAATCTTTTCAGCCCACAATGCCAGGAGGCAAACGGTTCCACTGGTCAACAGTTCTCACCGTCAGGAAATTGCTCCTTAGTCCCAGGTGAGATCTTTCTCTCCGACTGCCTTCCACCTGCTGCTTCTTGTTCTGCCCTCAGGGACTCTGGAGAATAAATTGACCCCCTCTTCTCTGTGGCACTTTGCTGGAAGACCAGTACTGTGTCACTTCTACTTCTTCCCTTTGTGTTCTGACCTAGGCTTCCCCAGCAGCATGAAGCCGAGTCCTCGTCCTGATAAACCCCTTTTATTTAATTGACAGTGAATTTCTCTCCAGCAAAGTCTCTCCTCTCCCACAGTCTTTCAAGGTAGTTCGCAATTACCGACCTTTCTCAGGCGTGGAGAGCGGCCAGGCCGATATCTTTCAGACGCCGCAATACTGGGCAAGAATGCAGGAATGAACTAATGGTCTCCTGCAAGCTCCACTCCCCCTTTGCTCCTCTTTTATTCCCTCTGGGAGGGGCCATTCACTGTCCACCTGTGGC